ATACATACATACAACCCATACATTCAGGTAAAAAAAAAAAAATAAAAATAAAATCATCCTTGAAATTGACTTGTTGTTTCTCTCAAGAAGCGATCCCACAATGTGGCACCTTTGGAAAACCACTCCATGTATGGAACCATGTCTTGTAAGTGAAATTATGTTGATGGAATTGTTCCAAAGTGGTCAGAGATTGTGCTAGCACAAAATCACACATCATTCTGACTGAGGGTTTGAGCATACTTGTCTCGTTCAAATTGCTGACCATGATATATTATGTGTTCTCTTCCAAAATCTGCAAGTAATGGCCGCTCAGTATTGTTGCAGTATAAACTACAGGTGGGCTATAGGTATTGAACAAACACAAATGTGACTGATATTGGCCTCTGCATCAGAGATTGGTTAGCTACCTTAACGCATGGGTTTGTTCTGAAAAAGAGTATCTGGTCATCATATCATATATATATATATATATATATATATATATATATATAAAATTCAACATTGAAGTCAACACTCAGAGGCGACAGGCTGTTTCATGCTAGATGCAATCATTATTTATATTTACATATGCTCTATCTCTGATATTGAGCAATTTTATCCCATAAATATAGCACATCGTAAAACTATATTTCTTCATACATATATATATATATATATATATATATATATATATATATATATATATATATATATATATATAGGAAATAAGAATAGTAAAAATAAAGAAACTAAGCAATCAATAGTTAAAGTTTGTTTTATGTACTAGCAGATACAGAAAGGAAATTGTGGAAAACTCCTATGGGAAGTAGTAAAAGGAAAGCAAGAAGAAAGGACTAAACATCAGTTGTAAGAAGACAGAATACATGGTTTGTTATAAAAAAGGGACATCCCAATATGCGAACTATGAGTTTGATATACCAAAATCAAGCAAGTACAAAAATTTAATTATTTAGCAAGTGTTTTAGCAGAGGACTGAATCTGTGGCACCAAAATCAGAAGGCACATTGAAATAGTGAAAGATGCTTTCCAAAACCTAAGTAAAGTATTAAGAAACAGGACAATTTTGTTAGAAAAAAATTACTGGACTGCTATGTAATATTAGTCCACCTCACAGATGAAGATGCGACTTCAGGCAACAGAAATCTGGTTCTACAGAAGAATGCTGAGAATACCTTGGATTATATATGGAGCAATGACAAAGGTTTAGAGAAAATGTAAGAAAAGGACTTTTATACTTAACATTAGAAAGACAGATTTGAAACCTCTAGGGCACATAATGAGGAAAGAGGGCTTAGAAAATTCACAGGACAGATTGAAGGCAAGAGGGACAGAGGAAACTTACCTCATGACCATGTGCAAATGTTTGGCAGATCAGGGATTAGGAGAGATAACAAAAAAATATATACTTTACTAAAAGCTACAAAGATCACAAAGTTGTGTAATGCTATGATTGCTCACATTCTAAAGCTTCTCAAAAGTTGTAATTTTTATGACTGAATTTCTGATGTTGATGTTTACAGTTGTTGTTATTTATTTTCATTTCTATTGTATACACATTTCCTTCCTGGTCCCAGCCAGAGGTTTAAGGTCAGAAATGGCCCCATGACATTTTTCACTGATCATTTTGGTATATAAAAAAAAAAATCCCAGAAAAACCTAAGATCACACATATTTTACATAAAGCTCTTTGTAATGTGTAAACTGTACTTTTGAGTACAATTTTTGTATTTCTTTAAGACATGGACTACCAGGAATTCCTTCTATGAGTCTCTTGGAATCTTTTCCAATCTTAGAGCTTCAACTATAACTAGACTTAATGATGTTCTCATGTGTTACATTTTTAAGACTTCCACTTCAAGATCTTTGTATTTTGACAGTTTTTTTTTTTTGAAGATCTTCAAAGATACATTACAATCTGCAGGAACTGCCATGTCAATAAGTAAGCACATTCTGTTCTTGTGGTCTTTGATCATGATCTCTAAGGGATTAGCTTTGATTGTACTGTCTGTGTGCATTGTAAAATCCCATGAAATTGTTACCGGTCATATCTCTGTAACTGGGTCTGGGTGATGTTCATACAAGTTTCTTGCGTGTAAGAGTTCCATATTTTCCAGTGCAGATATTGGCACACTCTATCATGCCAAGTTTTATTCAGTAGGTGCTAACACTGTGGAACCTAATACAAGGTGGTCAATTGTTTCTGGATATTTATCACAGAATTATGCATTTTGGTCTAACACAGTATGTGATCTTGGTAATTTCTAGCTAGCAAGCATTGGTCTTGTGCAGCAAGAATAAAACCTTTAGTTTCAGCTTTTAACACTGCATTACATAACCACTGATGAGTACAGGATTTTTATTATTATTATTATTATTCTCTTCTTTTGCAGTTTTGTCTTTTCAACTGGAGATCTTGCATCTTGGATGTTTTCGATCATCTTCTCTGGTTTGTGGCAGTACCATTTCTGTTTGACAATATTCTTATCTTATTTTTTTTCAGAACAAGATGAGGGTTTGGATGCTTTATCAAAAGTAATCTCACACCAGAAGCAGATGGCTGTGGACATTGGCCATGAAGTAGATGCCCAAAATGGTAGGTAGTTTTCTCCTAAATGATTGTCTAGCAAAAAAGTCTCTCATTAATATATTATGATATGAGTAAAAATATTGATTATTATTGAAAGGAAGTAAAACTTTAATATAAGGTATTAATTCTTTGTGCATAGACATAATATTCTAAGACACTATCTCTGTCCCAAAATATTTATTACATTAAATGTATAGAATGTATATGCAAATATAACAACTATTCTGGGACAGAAGTAGCATTAATGAAATAGAACTAACTCCGTCCCAAAATATTTATTACATTAAATGTATGGAATGTATATGCAAATATAACAACTATTCTGGGACAGAATTAGCATTAATGAAATAGAACTACCTCTGTCCCAAAATATTTATTACATTAAATGTATGGAATGTATATGCAAATATAACAACTATTTTGTATTACTTCAGTACTACTTGTGTTCCAGAAGAGTTATTATATATTTAAATAAATAAAATATATATGCAAATGTAATAATATTATAGGACAGAGGTAGTATTAGTATTGACACAAATCATGAATAAGAGATCCTAGTTCCTTTTTCTTTCAGATATCTGTCTCGTATTTGGAATCAGTAAAAAAAAAAATGACCTTGAGCATCTTGTCTTTTTTTTGGGGGGGGTTATTGTAGAGAAAAACAATTAATAAAACCTTTGATAAATATTCAGAATAATTTATTATTCATTATTTGAATTTCTGATGACCTTTGGTTTTTCTCAGTCAATTGATTGTTGATGTTGGTATTTGGAAGGAAAAGATTTTCTGTTAAATAGATTTATGCTATGGAGTTTTAATGAAATTTCAGTAAAGAACCCACTGGAAATAATTACTCACATATTCTATTTTGTTGATAGAGTAATTTTAAAATTTGACTGATTAATAATTTTTATTAAATTCCATACTTCAGAATGTTAATACTTTTGTTACTTTACCTATTAAGAGTCAAAAGATATTAATTACGTAACATCCCTCTTTTTGATAATTTCACTATATCTTCATTTTTCCCTCTTCATACTGCTACGACTTGCACTTGCTTTCAAGTGATGCTATATCATCTCTAGAGAATCCTCATCAGCTTACAGATATTAATGAAAAATGTTGATATCTATCGGCAGTTTTTCCTTCTGCACTTTTCCAAAACATATTGGTTCCATCATTGTTCTTCTATGTACTGTGTCCCTTCAGGATGTTGGAGATCAAGGCTCTCCACTATTTCTTGTTCTTTGTAGTTCTTAATGAATTTTGTCTTTTTATCTCTTCTAAGCCCTGTTCTGCTATCCTTTTTACTCAAGCTCGCTAGGTAGGTTACACATTGTTTCCCCCTGTCTCTCTTGCCTTCAGTCTGTCCTGTTCTCAAATTTTTCTATCTGGATTCATTTCTTTAATGTGATAAAGTCAAGTAACCATACTGAAATATGCAAGATATGCATCTCCTTTGTTACTGGCTCACTCCAGACATACAAACTCAACATAAATATTCATATGAGCAAATATAAAGGGCACAACTTGATTTAATCATAAATTACCTATAAATCTTTGCCAATTCATTTGTTACTGACGTTGAGACATGAACAATCAAAGAAGCAACCTGATCAAATATCACGCCTTACTGTGAGAAACGCACTTAAAGACACATAGCAATTTTTTCTCCTTCTTAGTATTTGTGTAATTTGAGAAAGAGAAGTAACATTTTTCATTTCGATCACTTAATCCCTTGGTAAAACTATTCTAACTTGTATTACTTGGCAAAAAGGAAAGAAATCCGGCATCCAATTTTCTTTCCAGAAGGCATTTTATTCTTTTTGTCCTTCACTGTTAGGATGATTACAGATTTGGCAGTGTTCTGTTTTCAAAGGGACCCATTCTTCTGATCTTTCTTTTTTCTATGTGCCATGTCCCTTCAGAACGTTAGCAATAATGGCTCTTCACAACTTCCTATCTTGATGCAATATCTGTTTTCTTACAATGCCATCTAGTCCCTGTTCTACCATCCATTTACACATGCTTCTTATCCTATGAGTGTCAAATTCTTTAAACCTTCTTTTCTCATAATGTCCCCCAGAAATTTCAACTCTTTTTGATTCTAAGTGTATATGTCCTTTTTGTTTTCATTTTCCTTAAAGCTTCCTCATTACTCACATATTCCATCTATGGTATTCTCTGCATCCTTCTGTAAAATCACATCTCTGCGACTTAAAGTCTACTCTTCATATTTAAGAAAATTCTCACGCATTCACTGCCATATTGGAAGACTGATATATACATAGCAGTTTAGCACTCTTTTCTTTGTTTATAACAAATTTTTTATGTTTGTTAATAGTTTGCTTAGCTTTGGGAAGGCAGCTTTTGCTATTCTGATACACTTTCAGATTTCTGTTACATTTTCCATCATTTTTTAAAATACTTTCCAGATATTTAAATTTCTGTACTTACTTGAAATTGATGGTTAGTCCTTTCTTCCCACTTTCCTTTACTACCATGTCTGAGAGATCCTGTACTTTTAGTGTCACCCATCAACACTGTGTCATCTGCATCTCTCATGTATGAAAATGATAATGCAAATTTTGAAAAATCAATGTGTAATAAGACATTATCGCAAAACAGAAAAAATCTGTGTAACAGCTATAGCAGGCATCCTGTTTGAAAAAAGTTTTGATCTCAATTTTTTATGCTATTAGTAGCATAAAAAATTGAGATCAAAACTTTTGAAACCAAAGGATACGTCTTTCTATTTTTTCTCTATCCCAAAGAAACTCTTATGAATTCATAGGTAAGAGAATGAATTGCAATTTTTACAGAAGAGATGTGAAGCAACACAAATGTGGATCTACAGGAGGATGCTGAGTATACTGTGAACTGAATATGTGAGCAACAACAAAGTTTTAGAGAAAATGGAAATGAAAGAGAAAAATTTAAATTTCTAGATCACATAATGAGGAAAGAGGGTTTGGAAAATTTGATATTGTTAAGTTCTGTTCTATGGACAATATTTGTTACCCAGCATAAGGATTGAACTTACATCTTCTTGGTTATAAAAATGTGTTAAATTATCTTAGAAATATTGTCCAGGTAACAAAAAGTCTGTTCACTCCTGAATTACCCTGACAAGAATTTACCAGGCAATTGAAAGTGTTTCCTCACTAGAGAAAAACAACTAGCTTGAATTAAGACACTTGGGCAGAACCCATCTGAGCCAGCAGGGGGGGTGGGACAGGTTAATCCAACAAAGCATTAGTTTTTATAGGACAGATTGAAGGGGAACAAGGAAAAACAATGTGTAACCTACCTAGTCAGCTGGAGTAAAAGGATGGCAGAAAAGGGCTTAGAAGAGATAAAAAGACAAAATTTATTAAGAACTACAAAGAACAAGAAATAGTGGAGAGCCTTGATCTCCAACCTCCTGATAGGATACAGTACATAGAAGAATAATAATGATGGAGCCAATATGTTTTGAAGAAGTGTAGAAGGAAAAATTCAGATAAACATCAACATTTTCATTAATATCTGTAAGGTGCTGAGGATTCACTAGAGATGATATAGCATCACTTGGAAGTAAGTGCAAGTTGTAGCAGTATGAAGAGGAAAAAATGATGACAAGGTGAGATTTTTTTTTATATATATATATATATATATATATATATATATATAATATAAACGGGTGAGTTATGCAAGAAAATGAATATTTCCTTATTTGCTTGCATTCATATCAACCTCTTGGTTATCAAATGATGGTGGTTAATATCCCTTCATGTCAGAGTGACCAGTTAATATGTGAATTATGCAAGAAAGAAATATTCTCAGTTTTTATTTCCCCCATTATGAGCATTATTATATCCATGATATAGCAACACTTAATACATGGATGGAACATAATAGCAGAAAGAATAAGGATTACAAACATGCTTTGTTCTCAGAATTTTATACTACTAAGTCAAAATTATAGACAAAAATTTACACTTGTCCCAAACACAAAAAAAACATGTATACAACAAGTAGTGTAAAAATGACAAACAGAGACAGGGTCTTACTTGGAATTCAAACTGCTGGAGGACTTTTCTGTGTTTCTGGCAAAGCCATATTTATATTTCCTAATGGGAAAGATTTATTTCCTATGTCACTAACAAGGATATATTTCTCAAACAAAAAACAGTCATAGGTATTTCCAAACATGAGGACTGCAAGCTGGAGATAGTTTTTATATTTGTTGACGATATATTCCCAAAGTAAAATGGTACCATGAGCTTGTGAGAAACCCTTTGGCAACTCACCTGGGTGAAGCAGATTTAGCCTCGGCCCATACTAAAAATGCAAATCCTCAGTTTCACACCTGGAAGCTAACTGTCAGACTGATCATTTTTATCACTCTATGAACTGACATCATTAAGCGGCTGTCAAATGACACATGTGACTTCATCAAAGAGCGATAATTGCCTTTTGCATCCTCACAAAATAAAGATAAATTTTTATATCTGTTTTCTTTTGGGTAAACACTATCTGTTTTTGTATAAAATGAATTCCATTTGACATTACATGCTGTTCTCTGCATAAAAATGCATATTGTAAATGGAAAGTCATTGTAGCATACTCTGAAAATTGCCTATTGTATCCGTCTATCTCTCTCTCTCTCTCTATATATATATATATATATATATATATATATATATATATATATATATATATACATACATACATACATACACTGCATATCTTTCTTTTTTTTTTTTTCATATCACTCCAAACAAGTTGATAATGTTACAAAGACACAACATACTTTATTGAGAAGAAAGTTCAATAAAAGAACAGGATCCAGGAAAACAGAAAATGGCGATTAGTTTTGTATTTAAATTTTTGAAGATTGTAAGTAGCAGTGAAACAAGAAACCAGGATAG